AATACTGCTTCAGATTCAGCCTTTCTCCAACCTCCTTCCTTTTCAGGTTTCTCAATCTTGGCACTATTGACATTTTGGGCTGGATGATTCTTTGTTGTAGAGGGCTGTCCTATGCATTGTAGTAGCTTTAGTAGAAGCCCTGGTCTTTACCCTCTAGATACCAGTAGCAGTCCTTCCCCAAGTTATGAAAATGAAAACTATCTCCAGACTTTGCCAAATAATGCCTGGGGGAGGGATGGAAATCCCTCCTAGTTAAGCTGTTTATTGTGATCAACAATGGTTCTGGTTTTCTCTGAACTGACAACTTTTCTTGCCAGTGGGAGTTTCAATGCTAAAACAATGATGTAGTTGTTATTAGGTGCTATTGAGTCTGTTCCAGTCTGTATAGCAGAATGAAACACTGTCCAGTCCTGTGCCATCCTCACAATTATTATGTTTGAGCCCATTTTTTAAAACTCTTGTGTCTGACCATCTTGTTGGGGATTTTCCTCTTTTTCTCTGATCATTTACATTACCAAGCAAATATGAATCTCTTCCAATCGGTTAGTCAGATATCTGTCTTCCAAATTTCTTGGCATGGATGAATGAGTGTACCCAGGGTCTGTCCCATTCTAACAACATGTCCAAAGTATGAGAGACAAAGTCTCACCATCCTTGCTTCTAAGAAGCATTCTGGCTGTATTCCTTCCAACATGGATTTGTTTGTACTTCTGGTAGTCCATGGTACTTTCAACATTATTCACCACAGCACCATAATTCAAATGCATTGATTTTTCTACAGTCTTCCTTTTTCATTGTCCAAGTTTCACAAGCATATGAAATGATTGAAAATACCATGGCTTGGGTCAGGCTCACTTTAGTCCTCAATGTGACATCTTTGCTCTTTAACATTTTAAAAAGGTCTTTTGCAGCAGATTTACCTAATACAATATGTTGTTTGTTTTCTTGACTGCTGTTTCCATGATCATTGATTGCGGATCCAAGAAAAATGAAGTCTTTGACACCTTTAATCTTTTCTCCATTTATCATGATTGTGTTTATTGGTTCAGTTGTAACAATTTTCATTCTAATTGCATTGAAATGCCACCTATACTGAAGGCTGTAGTCTTTGATCTTCATCAGTAAGTATTGCAAGTCCTCTTTGCTTCCAGCAAGCAAGGTTATATAATCTGCATATTGCAGATTGTTCATGAATCTTCCTCCAATCCTAATGCCATTTTCTTCACATAATACAGCTTCTCGGATTATTTGCTCAGCATACACATTGAATAAGCATGATGAAAGGATACAACCCTGGTGCACAATTTTCCTAATTTTAAACCATTCAGTATCTTTTTTTTAATTATTTTTTCTAACGACTGCTTCTCAATCTATGTATTGGTTCCACATGAGCACAATGAAGTCTTATGGAATTCCCATTCTTCTCAATGTTATCCATACTTTGTTATGATCAACACAGTGGAATGCCTTTGTATAGTCTATAAAGTGCAAGTAAACATCTTTTGGTATTCTCTGTTTACAGTAAAGATTCATCAGAAATCAGCAATGATAGCTTCCATTCTACATTACATTGTCTTCTGAATCGAACTTGAATTTCTGGCAGATTCATGTCAATGTAATCCTTCAACCATTTAAAAAATTATCATCAGCAAAATTTTACTTGTATGTGATATAAATGATATTGTTTAATGATGTCCCCATTCCATTGTGGCATCTTTCTCTGGAATGGGCACAAATATGGATCTCTTCCAATTGCTTTGCCAAGTCTTCCAAATTTCTTGACATAGGTGAGTAAGCGCCTACAGCTCTACATCAGTTTGTTGAAGTATTTCAGTTTGTATTTTGTCAATTCCTGGAGCCCTCGTTTTTTGTTTGTTTGTTTGTGTACCAATGTCTTCAGTGCAGCATGGATGTCTTCCTTCAATATCTTCAGTTCTTGATCATATGCTCTTGAAATGGTTGAGCATCAACAAGTTATGTTTATTACAGTTATTCTGTGTATTATTTCCATCTTCTTTTAATGCTTCCTGCATCATTCGATATTTTGCCACATCACCGACCTTGTGGTTTGCAATGTAATACTTATCCTAAAGAGCCACCACATCCCCACATTTTTCCCATAAAGTTCTTCAGTATTGCCACATGAGGCTTGAAATTTTTCTTTAGTTCTTTCAACCTGAGAAATGCTGAGCGTGGTCTTCCCTTTTGGTTTTCTAACTCCAAGTCCTCATACATTTCATTTTTCTACTTTGTCGTCTCGAGCTGCTCTTTGAAAATTTCTTTTCAGTTATTTTACCTTCTCATTGCTTCCAGTCAATTTAGCTTATATATGCTCATGAGCAAGCTTCAGAGTCTCTTCAGACATCCACTTGGGTCTTTCCTTTTTCTCCTGTCTTTTTAATGATCTTTGCTTTCTTCCTGGATGATGTTCTTGATGTCATCCTATAATTCTTCTCATCTTCGGTTATTAGTGTCTAATGCATCAAATCTGTTCTTGAGATGATCTCCTATTCAGGTGGAATATACTAAAGTCCATATTTGGCTCTTATGAAGTTGTTTTAATTTTCTTCAGCTTTGGCCTGAACTTGCATGTTACGTATTGATGACCTGCTTCACAATCAGCCACTGACATTGTTCTGGCTGATGATATTGAGCTTCTCCATCATCTTTTCCCACCTATATAGCCAATTTAATTCCTGTGTATTCCAGCTACTGAGGTCTATGTGTGTTGTTACTATTTATGTTGTTGAAAAAAAAAAAAAGTATTTGCAATGAGTAAGTCATTGGTCTTGCAAAATTCTACCATGCAATTTCCAGCATCGTTTCTGTTATTAAGGTCATATTCTCCAACTACCGATCTGTCCTTTTTTCCTAACTTTCAGAGTCCAATCACAAGTAATTATCACTGTATCTTGATTGCATGTTTGATCAATTTCACACTGAAGGAGTTGGTAGAATCCTTCAATTTCTTCATCATGGGCTTTAGTGGTTGGAATGTAAATTTTATTAAGAATTGTGTTAACTGTAGGTACATGAACATTATCCTATAACAGAGAGCATTGTACTCCAAGAAAGATCTTGAAATGCTCTTTTTGAAGACCAGTGTAACCATTCCTCTTGAATTTGTCATTCCTAGCATAGTAAAAATTATGATTGTTAGATTCAAAATGGCCAACACAAGTCCATTTCAGTTCCCTATTGCCTTGGCTACTGATGTGTTCCATTTCATTTTTGATGACTTTCAATTTTCTAGGTTCATACTTAATACATTCCATATTCCAATTATGAATGAATGTTTGCAGGTGTTTCTTCTCATTTTGAATTGTGCCTCATCAGTAAATGAAGGTCCTGAGTACTTTGCTCTATCCATGTCATTAAGATCAACTCTACTTTGAGGAGGCAGTTCTTCTCCATTTGAATTCTGAGAGCCTTCTGATCTGAAGTGCTCATCTTCTGGCATGATATCAGATAATGTTGGACTGCTGTTTATAAGATATTCAGTGGCTAATCTTTTAGAAGTGGTCTGCCTCTTCTTCTTCCTAGTTAGTCTGGAAGCTTTGCTGAAACCTGTCATTGTGGGTTTCATTGAGTTCTACATAGAGTCACTATGAATCAGAATTGATTCAATATATTTAAAATACTGGTGGCATAGCTTCCAGCCTCACAGTACAACTCTCAAACTAACAGATGAGTGTTGAAAAACTAGTATAGTGTAGGGAAAGCTGGATGATTGGTCAATCTCTCCATGAAGATTTGTCTCCTGATTAAATAAAGTCTGTTATGTCAGAGGGGCATTGATGGTGGGATTGGTGTTGCTTGGTAGTCTTAGGCTCATTCTGAGCTGTGAGTGTGCCTTCTACTATACAAAGCACTTGTGCCCACTACCCATTTCTTCCCTCTATGTAGCTCATCTGGGATGTAGGAAGTGCTCTACTTTCAAAGGGCCTGGCTGATTGAGTATATAGGTCATTACAAGACTGAGGAAGACTAGAGTGAATGCTGGTGTGTGTGTGTGCACATACGTGTGTGTGCTTGTGTATGTGTGTTAGGATAGAGAACTAGGAGGGGCAGATAGGTACTAGATACGGAGAACCCATTGGGCAGTGTGCTTGTGTGTTTACACCATGAGTACACTGGATGGGGTAGGGTTTTCATTTCTCTGTTCACCTTGCTATGTGTTTTAATTTATCTGGTCTAAAATAAATATTTTGATTAAGAGGTAAAAGGACAATTAGTAAGAAATCTGATAGAGCATTTTTTATGAGGTAATAAAAGAAAAACCTCAACAAATTGGTTAGCTATCAGGATTATTTTGGTTGCATTTATTTAGGTCACATTTGTAGTGGTAATACATATATATATATATATATTACAAAGTACTTCCAAAATATGTCACTTGCCCCCCCCAACCTTTTGATTTTGATGTAATTATTATTCTCATTTAAGGATGAAAATAACTGAGTTCTGAAGGAGACACATACTTTTCTGAGAGTGAATGTCAGGCTTTGAAGCCTCCACATCTTGGTACCTCTACATTCCACCATGCTTCAAGAAGAAGCCTTGGATATAAGCATGAATCTGGGTTGCTATAAATTGAATTGTCACGTGACAGGTGTAGATGTGGAGGGTGTGAATCAGCTCACTTGGTAGTGGCTCTGATAGTGGCCCTTCCTCTTCTCTGCTTTGCAGAGTGAGAGGCTGAAGCAAGCTCCATGAAGGCAGTACTTAAGAACTCCAATCTCCTAGCACTGGCCTTGCTGCTATCTGCCTGCACTTTCCTCTGTGCTCTTTGACACTGGTGTGGGAGGTATGATTTGCTGTGTAATATTGTTTGCGTTTTTCTTGATTATGTAAACCAGTGGCTTTTGCCAGGAACTTTCTGTGACCTGGAGCTCCGAGCTGGTTGCCTCCCATTGGCCAACTGTTTCATTTGTTTCCAGTTGCAGAGCAGTGATAATTGTCAGTGTCTCTTGAGGCTTCAGGAGTCCGAACCGGTAGCAATGACAGCAGACGAGTTGGTTTTCTTTGTGAATGGCAAGAAGGTAAGTAAAAGCTGACTTTTGGTTGGGCTTTCCCTATCCCTGGGCAGAGATATGTATCCCCTAGAAAAAGAACACTAGTCTTGGCTTCTCTTTTGTGTTTTCTTTTAGTCGTTTCTCTTTTCTGTTTTTATTTCTCCCTTCAAATGTGTTCCTGTAGTTTTGGTAGCATTAGGGAAAACAGTAGACTTACAGGACAAAGGAGTGAGGCGAGGCGAGAAGAGAGATGTTTGTGAAGTAACTCACTGCCAGCTCTTGGAAGTGATAGAGAAACTGGTGCTGAAACCGAAACCGGGTGTCAGGGTTCTGGGTGAGATTAGACACCAAGAACGCTTCCATTTTTGTGATTCATCAAAGAGATACTAATGCTTTGGCTGCTCTCTTCACTGAGAGGAGGAATGCGAAATGCTCCTCGATAATTTCAGGATATAAATAAATGTACACAATCTCTAATTTTGAATGCATTACGTATATAAATGTAAAAATTCATCCCAGATTTATGTGTGAGGACATATACTGACACCTTGTGGCAAGAAATAGTATTTTCTGCATGAAGGACACCAGCCTTTCCTCACTGCACATAAATACTTGAAATCTCTTGCTCTGATAAAATTTATCCACTTGAAGTAACTTCATTGATACACTGGGACTGAAAGTAGGTGCAAGAAGGGGAGTGAGGCATATGCTTGGGCACCAGTCCTTGAAACACTAAAAGGGTGCGCATGTTTGCAAAATGTAATGCAGATGCAGGCAGGCAGAGATTGTGCAAATGCAGTATATCGTCTCTAGTTCCCATTTATCCTCCCCCCACCCCCACTGCTGATATGTTGGTATCTGCATCAGTTACCCTGTTGAGAATGAAAAGGACAGTAAAAGGGTAACCATAGTTGCATGCATAAGGAGATGTAGCACCCTAACATCGTGACTGGCCACATGGACAGTGTGAGCGGTGAGCAGCGAATGTGGTCAGTGGACCCCAAAGGAGGGCAAATTAATTTGTTTTGCAATGTTCACACTTCCTGGCGAATGAGAAATATAGTGATTTTTGGTAAGACTTCTAGAAAGAAAAGGAAGACCCTCAGTGAGACGGATTGACACAGAGACTGCAACAGTGGGTTTAAGCATAGGACTGGGGAGAGCTTCATTACGTTTTTCATAGTGTCACTGAGTCGATGATACCTAAACCAACAGGACTTCTAGGACTTAGATGGTCAGGTGTGCTTGGATGACCAACAAGTTCATTTCAATGTCAGTACTCCAAAGACTCCTTTGTTCAGTTTGTGCATTGCCACCAGGAAACCACTGAAATGGTCAGTTTGGCGGGCAGGATTTTTGCTTTTCTGAACAGTCACTCTCTGTTTTGTGTAGATCGTGATGCCCAGAGGAGTCTGGGGAGATGTGGAATTTAGGGTAAAGCTGAAGGTGCCTAGGAGTGGCCTCCAGCTATAGGTGTCAGCTACAGAGAGTCTCAGAGTGGCTTTCCAGGCTCTGAGCTGTCTCTGTGCTGCTTCCCTCCCAGGGTTGGTGATATCTGGTATCAAAGGAAAAGGTAGGGCAAAGCGTCCAGGTTACTTATAGTCGGGTGTTTGCATTCAACATTTTGAACAACTTTGTTGCACTCAGCAGAGACATTGTGTTGATTTAATAAATAGTTATTGCATTGGCTTCTTGGAAGTGTTATTCTCAAAGACATCTTCTGTGGATTTTTGAAAGCATTACTTATTTATATTGGGTGATAGATTGGATTAAATGACTCTCAAGACCATGTTTAACTCTAAGGATTTTATTATTTATTACGCCCTCAATTTGGCACTGTATGAGGTCCTGCTCTTCTTTAGGGATGGTTTGCTATTATGCACTACATCTAGGAAGAGGCATTTGAGGTAAATCTGGCTTGGTGAGAATTCCTTTCCCTTGAATTTCATTTTCACTCTGGGAAAGCAAATTTTTAAGTTTTAGAGATAGTATCATTACATCAAACCCTATTATTTTTGTCAACTCTGTGACTGACAGTTTCTGTAATGAATATCCATATTTGTAATTTATGAAGATGTGGCCTCTTGAGAAATTGCCAGGAAGGTGGAGAGTTAATGCAAGGAGTAATGAGGGATACACAGTACTGTAAAAGGAAGATCAAACACGGAAATTCCAGGTCACATGAAGGCAGTTGTGAGCGAGTTTGTTCTCACATCTACTCCCAAGATGTCCTAGACCTTTCCTTAAAGGTTATTGTGTAAAGAAGTTACCAAATACGTGGCTGGAACTTGATGACTTACTGTTAAATGTGGGCCTCCTACTTACCTTGTTTTCTATCACTTCCAGGACACTGTCTCCATTGACTGGAGCCTTGGAGAGTGTGTAAGATACAAAGAATTAAATTATATTCTATCAAAGGCCTCTGGGGACTTTTGTGGTGACAATGAACTTTGTTGGCTATTGTTTGTACATCTTTATCATCTCTACTGTTAAAGTCAAAAGGAAGCAGGGAGAGCTATTAAGAATTTTATTACCACTGTACTTGGAAGTTTAGAGGGCAGGATTTTTGCTTTCCTGAGCAGTCACCCTCTGTTTTGTGGAGATTGTAGTGCCTAGAGGAATCTGGGAAGATTTGGCATGTAGGGTACTGAAGGTGTTTATGAGTAATCTCCAGCTAGGTGCCAGCTACAGAGAGGCTCAAAGAGACACTCACTCACTCACTGTCTCTCTCCCCTACCCACTCACAAACTCACTCATTCACTAACTCACTCATTCACTCACTCACTCATTCACTCATTCATTCATGTATTCAACACTTACCAAGCTCCTTCTGAGGTTGAAGGCTATGGCATATACTTTGGAGAAATAAGATACCTAAGACCAGGCATTTGCCAGTCAGGAGCCTATGAACTAGCAGGAGAGGTACATCATGATTACACAAAGCAATGTCTTCTCCAAATGTATTTCATGGAAAATTAACGCATTAAATAATCTTCTTGAATATTTTTTAACCACTTAGCATAGTGCTTGGCACCAAATAAATGCTCAATTAATGTGGATGGAATAAATGGATGACTATTAAATATCTTGTAATAAATAAATCTATTTTTTTTAAATCTTGCATTTCAAAATAATTTAAAACTCACAGAAGAGTTGCAGTTAGAATACAAAAAAAATAATAAATATACTTTAACCACAGTCACCAACTGTCAACTCTGCATTTCATTGTCCCATCTCTTTGTTGTTAAGTGCTGTCAAGTCAGTTCCGACCCATAGTGACCCTGCATAGGGTTTCCAAGGAGTGACTGGTGAGCTTGAACCACCGACCTTGCAGTTCAAATGGCTTTGCAGTCTGGCGCATTAACCCACAGCACCACACCAGAAGTCCCATCTCTTTAGCCTCCTTTAATTTGGAATTGCTCCTCAACTTTTCTTTTATGTTTAGAAGAGAACTGACCAGTAATTTTTTTCACAGTGTTCCTGATTTTGAGTTGGTCTCATGCTTTCTTATAATTGGATCCTGAGTCTGAATTTTGGGTAGGAATGCCATGTAAGTGAGGCGTCATTCTCAACTCATCTTACCAGGAGGCACATGATGGGTAATTTTCCCATTGTTAATAATGTGAACTTTGATCACTTGATTAAGGAGATGACCTCCAAGTTTCTGTACTGTAAGATTAATCTTTTCCCATTTGTAATTAATAAATAACCAGTGAAAAGTTACTTTGAGACTATATTAGTATCTTATTCCTCTTCACATTTTCACCTACCAATTGTAGCATCCATTGATGACTCTTGACTTGGCCAGTTACTGTGCTGATTACAAGATGGCCAATTATATTTATTAGCTGTCGTTCTTCTATAAGGAAGAGCTTTCCCTTCTCCGCCATTTATTTGTTTGTTTATTCATTAATTATCTGGTTTGGACTCATGGATTTAAATTTTATTTAATAGGGTATAATTCATTATTACATATATTGAACCTAATGGTTGGCAGTTCAAGCTCACCAGTTGCACCTTGAAAACTATACAGTGTCGCTGTGAATTGGAACCAACCTGTAGACACTTAACAACAACATTTCATTATTGCCCACTTTTTGTATGATACTCAAGTTTTCCCGGAAGAAATCAATGTAACCTGGCTTTTTCTAAGCCTACTTTACTATTGGCATCTTGCTAAGCAAGTGTTCCATGGAGCCCACCAAGGCAAAAGCAACAGTTGTGTCAGGAGAACGGCACAGGATTCAAGGGAAGGAAAGTCCATTTGTGACCAGGGTGATTTGAAAAGGCTCTACTAGAGAAGTGTTTGAGTGTTTTGAAAAGACAAAATGCCAGTAGAAGAGGAATGTCATGGTCAAATGCACAGGAGTTGGAAAGTGTAAGTTGTACTTTTAGTGCAATGAGAAGGCCAGCTTTGTAGGGAGGTAAAGAAAGGTTGGACATGAAGATTTGGAAAAAAGGGGCTTCAAAAAGTTCGTGGAAAAAATGGAATTAAAAGCTAGTGAAAAATTTCCATGAACTTTTGAAGTCTTTTTGTATATTGAAAAGCTGAAAGAGTCCTTGAGACACAGCCTACAGAATTTGGATGGCTCCTGGAATATGTAGAAGGTCATGGAAGTCATTGAGCAGGGAACTGTTAATGTGATATGATGTGATGTGACGTGGCGTGACGTGACGAGATGTGATGTGATGCAGCAACATAGAGCTGCGGGACTGGAGGACAGAACAACCTGGGGGGAAGGTGGTAGTTGAGAGACTCTCACTTCTGTCTTAGAGAAGGATGATAAAGATCTTTATTTTGTCCATTTATGAATTCATTCTTCAAGAGAAAAGAAGTGGCTGCCTACATGATCTTTGTAACCAGGACCAAGCTGGCCTCATGGGGTGTAGTCATAAGAGGAAATTAATTTGATCTCTACTTTATCTTACACTTTACTCAAAGGGCAAATTCTGGCAGTTTTATGACTTTATTTTATTTTATTACTCTTCATCAATAAAAATGCCTGTGGTGATTTTACTTGCAACACACAACCAAAAATCAGTTAGAAGAGGTGAGGGTAACAAAACAAGGGAAAAAAAAAATCTTTAATTGGCACTGTAGGATAAGCACTGGACTGCTAACCACAAGGTCAAGGGTTCAGATCCACCAGCTGCTCCATGGGAAAAATATAAGGCTATCTGCTCCCATAAAGGAGACCTGGTTGTTGTTGTTGTTGTTGGTGTGCCGAGGAGTCAGTTCCAACTCATAGTGACCCTGCATAGAGTTTCCGAGGCTGTAAATCTTTACAGCTCATAGTTTTGAACTACTGACCTTGACTGCAGTCCGATTTGTAACCACTACAGTTTAGTGGATTACAACTGGGTTGCTAATCGCAAGGACTATAGTAGAATCTACCAGAGGCTTGGTGGGAGAAAGATGAGGCTTTCTGCTCCCATAAAGAACTGTAGGCCCAGAAACCCTATACAGGGTTGTTCTAAGTCTGAATTGACTTGGTGGCACCCACCCACCACCACTATGATCTGCTCGTGCAAAGATTTATAAGTCTCAGAAACCCTATATAGGATCACTGTGAGTCAAAATTGACTTGATGAGGAAAGGAGTGTTTTTTAGAGAGGTTGTAAGATGAAGGAGGCCTGGTAGCACTGTGTTGAGCTATCTGCCAGGTCAGTACTTCAAAACCCGTCATCCGTTCCTCGAAAATCTTATAAAGGTTTGCTATGCGTTGAGTGTGACTCAATTGCACTTAACAACATCAGGTCAACCACTCTCCCTCAGCCTTGGGTTTTGGGAGGTCCACTCCACATAGATACTATTGGAGGTCTACCCTAACTTTCACTAGCCAGTTTTTTGAAGATGGTTTAATCACCTCTGAGTCAGTTCTCTCTCTTTTGATTCTGCATAGCCTCTACTGTTGTTGGTGTTAAGTGCCATCAAGTCGATTCCGACTCATAGTGACCCTGTATAGGGTTTCTGAGGAGCAGCTGGTGAGTTTAAACCACTGACTTTGCAGTTCAAATAGCTTTGCAGTCTGGTGCATTAACCCACAGATTTTCCGAGGAGTAGCTGGTGGGTTTGAACTGCCGACTTTCCGCATTATCCTGCAGTGCCACACCAGGACTCCACAGTCACATGGTAGGTCTGAGTATAAACACTTGAAAAGGCAAAGCCAGAGATCCGTATGATGATGGTGGCATAGGTGTGAACCAGTAGATGAAAATGAAGTGACATATTTGATTTGAACAGGATTTGGCCTTGGTTAAAGTAAGACCTTTGAGTGATGCAAGTGGTTTGCAACCAACAACTAACTACAGGTTGGGGATTCAAACCCACTCAGCGGCACCAAGGAAGAAGAGACGGATGTTCTACTTCCATAAAGGTTATAGGCAAGAAAACCATGAAGCATTACTCTGTAACACATGGGGTTGCCATGAACTGTAATGGACTCAACAGCAATGAATTCGGCTCTTTCAATGTTGTGCCTTGGTCAGCCTACAAGGTGAATACAACACCTGAATTTTCAATAGTGGCTTCCAAGCTGAGTGTTACTGTGGAATTTTGGCATTTAAGGATATGTTACTGTTGTTGTTAGGTGCCATCAAGCTGGCACTGACGCATAGTGACCTTATGCACAGCAGAACGAAACACTGCCCGATCATGGGCCAACCTCACTACTGTTGCCATGCTTGAGTCCATTGATGCTGCCACCTGGCCAATCCATCTCGTTGGGGGGCTTCCTCTTTTTCTCTGACCCTCCACCCTACCAAACAGGCATAATGTCTGTTTATGTTTAACACATTCATTCTTATGGAGTATCAAGAAAAAATACCTTAGATTTAATGATGTATTTAGTATATCTCTATTATCTCTACAGATTCATGGATGAGATGCTGAAAGGAGAGAAAAACATTGTAGACCATTGACTAACTGTGATGTCTTTTTCCTTCTGTTTTAATAGGTGGTGGAGAAAAATGCAGACCCAGAAACCACACTTTTGGTATACCTGAGAAGGAAGTGTATCCTGACTTTGGAGTAGGAGGTGGGAGTGAGAGAGAGGAGCTGATAGAGACTCCTTCTCTGGGACTTACATGGTTTTCTGATGACCAGTAAGAAGGAAAAGGATGTAAAGAAAAGAGCCCTGGATGAGGAGTCTGGGCACTGAAGGACGGTTGCAGCCTGTCCATCAGTAGCTATGTGACCTTGGGCAGTCAGTCATTTTTGCTCTCTGCTTCTGAAAATCTCATCAGCTATCAAATGAAGACTGCCCTTGATATTCTTTAAGAGCCTTTCCAACTCAGACTAGTAAATGCTAGGTCTGGAAAATGAACAGTTCAGAAGTTCCTCAATGGTAATTCCCCACGGGGGGAGAAAGACACTTTCTTAGGTGAACGTTGCTTAATAAATAAATGGAAATAAATGTTTCCAGCTCAGCCTAAGTACAGAGGTGTCTGCTGGGAAAGAGATGCTTCAGACTTCAGGTAGAGAGTTGTGGAGATGTTCTATCTATTGTGAATTTGACAGGTACTGGGAGGCACCTGAGACAGGTGATTCCTTAGAGGGATTTTGAACGCTGCTCTTCACATAAGCAGTGAGGGCTATGGTAAGATTCCCTGCACCTTTTGTGCTTTCAGAGTATACAAGTAGTCTGAGATCCTAGAACAAAAACCAAGAACCCAAAAAATAATAATGGGAAGTAACATTTAATGAACACTGAAGATATACAGGCAGAGTTCAAAGTGATTGCTTGGGGTTACTCAAGTAAACCCCATCACAACTTCAGGGCATTGTAACAAGCCCTTTCACAAATGAGGAAGTAGAGTCTAAACATCTCAGTAAGCTATGTTTTGCTAGTGGCAGAGCCTTCACTAACATCTATAGCCACACTCTTAACCTCACTTATACTGGAAATGCTGTAGGGATCTGTTGTCAGTACTGTGCTGAGCTGACCTCTGTTAATGAACCACTTGCTCTTAGAAGGGCATAAGGCAGGGAGCTCTAGTGGCCCACTCCATTACATATTTTGGAGCAACAAAGGATTGTTTCAATACTCAGAGAAGTGAGCCTGGAATCCATGGCCTTATCTCTTGTCCACTGACCTCCCTGTAGGCAGAGGGTGACTCAGAGGTACTTTGTCCTGGATTTTTGACTTGTTCTGGGCAGGTTCATGATGTCCATGTCAAGACAGGTGGCTATTGTATACTGGAAGAATCACTTGGTAGGATCAGGAGCTCCAGACCAGCCCATCTACCCGGCTCAGAGATTCTCAAAAATATTTTTAGTTTCTAATAAAATTCTGAAGACTGGAAATGCTCAGACATTTCTTATCATAGCAAGAGGTTGGTATAAAGGTCAAATATGAAATTAAATTTGAAACTGAAAGTTGGCACACAACTAGAAAGTCTCCATGGCTTCTTGCCTGTATTATGAGGGAATTTGTGGGAATCATGGGAAAAAGAAGGCCCTAGTCGTGCTGTCTACCCTGACTTCCAGAAAGACTACTCCACCTAGAATACAAAGACCTTGCATTGGTAGGAAAACAAGCCAGGAAAGTTGTGCCAAGAACTTCTTTTTTCCGTCACTGCAACATGCCTGTTCATTCTTCAAGTGTAGCAAGGGCGGTCCTACAGGGATTACATAGAGAAACCTTACCCTATACACCCAACAGGCCTGATCTTGCTCTTTCAGACTTCTTTTTTGTTCTCCAAACTCAAAGAACATTTAAAAAGAGCATGATTGCAATCCTTCAAGGATTCCAAAACCGCTGTTTCGACATGGGGTAAATTGAAGAGCACCGATTTTTAGTGGGTCAGGGTTAGAGAGATGGAAACACTGCCCTCAGAAGTATATAGACTTAATTAGAGGAGATGTCAAGAAATAGTAGCTTCACATTTTGATATGTTTATATAAGTATATATGATTTTGTAGCAATACCTGTTTATTTAATCCTGTATATCTTGCTTAGTGAAAATGATACTTTAGAACATTGGAATGCTTCCCCAGACATGATTTACAGCAGTATCCTGATGAGGAAGCTATGTACCACACCTGGGGTCACATGACTGTATTGGAATCCTAACACCCAAGGTAACACAAGCCCCTGTGCTACCTTGTGTGGTTCATGTTCTCTCTCGGATTTCAATGGTTCTGTTATTATTATTACTTTTAATCTGCAAAGAAATAATAGTTCCAGCCCCATCTGCTAATCTAATTAATGTGAGGGTCAAACAAGTACCTGGGTATAAGTGCTTTTCAAGCATAAAATGCTATTATTGTTTGTTTTTATAGGTAGGTAACCTTCCACTCCCTCTGCCACCAGTAGACAGCCAGATGGCTCAGAGGCCTGCAGCCCTCAGTAAAAGGTAGCAATCAAGTCCACATGCCTTATGGAAATGGTCACCATCATTGCTTGTGTCTAGATAACAAGTTAGTTAGGCATTTTTAAACATGTAAAACATCAGATTATCTATTTCTTCAAGTACATTTAAGAGGCAGCTCTAATATTGATCTATGGCCTCAGTAATCTTTTTAATTTCCATTCTCTTTATCTATGGGCTGGATATTCAAAGGATTCTTAACTCCAGCTCTAATTTTGACTCCTGGGACTTCATCAGTCCCAAAGGTTCAGAGTGAAAAGGTGAGAGACACTCAGCACATCCCCGAATAGGTCGTGTCTCATTCTGACCTAATTATCCTCACTGCACACCCAGTAGGGGTGACATGAAGGCTGTCCCTCATATAATGTCTCTGAGTCACATGAATTACCTGCTCAGTGATACCGCAGGGTTGAGGACCTATAAGACCATTCCTTGAAGACATTGGTACCACAGGATGCCTCCCGGACTGGAGAGCCCTAGAATTTGAGTCCCAGGGGATGATGCTTAGATGCTGCTCAGTTAGCCTCTGTTGCCTTCCCTCTTCTGCGCAGTGGAATTGGCCCCATTCTCTTCTCCCAGAGGCACATGTTGCCTTTCACTTTCAATGAGACTGAGGTGTGAACCAGCTGCCTCCCCAGTCAAAGACCTGAACCTGTGTGGGGAGTGCCTCACCATGTCCAGGAAGCATTGCCCAGGCATTTTCTGCAAGACTCCTTTACCTCTAGTCCATGCTCCTTAACCTTTGACCACCCAGTGGGGCTGAGTGGAACCAAGCTCGGCTGTGGAGAAGGGGGCTGCGGGGCCTGCACCGTCATGCTTTCCAAGTATGATCGTCTCCAGAACAAGATCGTGTATCCTTTGCCTGCTGGCTGATTTTCCATGGGGCAGCTGGATCCCGGGGCCTCAGTTCATGAGTGACTGTGTGTATGAAAGAGAGCGAGTTTGAGTATGAATGACTCCCTGATACTCTGGGCACGCTCTGATCCTGGACAGAAAAGTTATAGGATGATGTCTTAGGAGGCTTCTTACTAGCTTATGAGTATTGACATGACTCTGAACTATGGATAAAATAATTTTTCTTAAATCCAGGCTTATGTTACTCCCCTTCAGTAGCTCTTCACTACCCCCGGTGTAAAGGACAAGCTCTTTTCTGAGCATACAATATGCCCCAGCTTCCTCTTCAGTTTTCTTTTCCATCAATGGTCCCAGCGCTCCATTCATCTGAGACAATTGTGCAGCCAGAAGCAATTGTAAAATACCAATGCTTCATGCTTGCTAATTTCATGATCTTTGCATAAACTCTTTCTCAAGGTGGTAATATCCTTTCTTCTAAGACTCTGGTCTCCACCTCGCTAATTCTTGTTGTTGTTGTTGTTAAGTGCCATCGAGTCGGGTCCAACCCATAGCGACCCTGTACAGGGTTTCCGAGGGTGTAAATCTTTATGGGAGTAGAAAGCCTCATCTTTCTCCCGCGGAGCAGCTGGTAGTTTCGAACCGCTGGCCTTGAGGTTCGCAGCCCGATTCGTAACCACTACGCTACCAGAGCTCCATTAATACTGGGCAAAAATATCACCTAATCCAGAGATCCTTCCTTGACTTCCCAAGACAGGATTAAATGTCCCTTGTCTGTGTTGGCCCTGTAGTGCCATGTGAATATCTCTCCTGAAGCACTTACTAACAGCTATGCAAATTGCCTTTCACACTTGCTTCTATTTTTTCCTGCACTGACTGCAAGCTATTGAAGACCAAGGATCTCATTTTATTCATCTTATGTCCTCAGCCCTTAGCACCATGCTTGGCATATGGTTGTTGGTGGTTATGTGCCATGGAGTCCGTCTGACTCTGAAACCCTGTACAGGGTTTCTGAGGTTATAAATCCTTACCGGAGCAGAAAGCCTCATCTTTTCCCATGGAACAGCTGGTAGTTTCGAACTGCTGTCCTTGAGGTTTGCAGCCTGATTCGTAAGCACTATGCTACCAGAGCACTCATTAAATGATATAGATTGTGTACATGAATGAGTGGTGAATAAAGTCATGGATGCAAGGAAGTTCTGTCTAAGGGGCTGATGTCTAGTGTTGCTGGGAACTTTTCCCTCCCTATTACTCATATGAGGAAATAGAGGTAGATGAAAGCGAGAAGCAAAAGTCACTGGAGGTTCTGAAATTGAAGAAACTAGGAAGGTCTCTGCAGAGAGAATGGTGCAGTTCCATGCTGGGACTTGCCAGTAACTTCCTCTTGACTCAGTATGGAGAATAGAACTGAGTAAGAGGAAGCTAAAGTGTTTCAAGTCCTGGTGCTGCAGAGAGAAGGATGCCCTTCCATGCTGGTACTTGCCATAAACTTCTTCTTACTCAGTCTCCAGATTAGGACTGAGTAAGAGGCAACTAAAGTGTTTGGAGTCCTGGTGTGGCACTGTAGAATAAGCACTGGATTGCTAATCACAAGGATAGAAGTTCAAACCCACCAGTCACTCCTTGGAAACATTCTGCAGGGTTGCTATGAGTCAGAACAGACTCGATGGCACTTAACAACAATACCAAAATGACATTGGCCAACTTTCTTGACCCTAGCTCTCAGGTCTTGGGTGCACTGATACCTGACATCCCAGGATTTGGGAAGAGCTCAGGCTTCTCTTGGGAGAGGGCTTTCTTGGTTTCCAACCCCTAGTCTTGGGTGCAATGTTGAGAACACCTATTATAAAACCAGAACATACTATATAGTGAGGGGAAATACATAGGTATTTCATAATCATTTCAAAGTGTTCCCCACTGCACTCAGCACTACTCTGATTACCCGACTGGACAATGGAATGACCTTAATCGTGGGTTCTAGACACTTTTCTGCCAATGCCTGCCTGGCCCCCATCTGCTCTTTGCATCATGTTGCTGTGACTACTGTGGAAGGAATAGGAAGCACCAAGACAAGGCTGCATCCTGTGCAGGTAACCAGAGGAAAGGGGACTGTGCTGTTGAGGTCAAGTAGTTCTGAGGTCAAGAGTCTACCAAGTCTGCAGATTTGCTTGGGTTGTTGGGCTGTGTCAGCTCTGAGCAAAGGCGGTATGTGACCTGGCCTCCTCCCCATCTCCTCTGGATGTGTAAGGCTGAGGGAGAGGACCCAGACCCAAAGTTCCCTTCTCTGACAGTGGTAGAAGTAACATTGCATGATCTCACGGGAAACAGGAGGTGAACTGAACCTAGTAGCCAGAACAGTCAAATTGTGCTGGAACTCGAAAGAGGTGAGGGGCAAGGGAGCTTGCCTCTCCTTAGGTCAGGAGAATACTGAGGAAGCCCCTGGCCTTCCCAGATTCAAGATCCCAAATTCTCTGTGCACCTTAATTAAAAATTCCCACCTGCTTACTTCCAGCTCCCAGGAATGATCATTCCAGCTGCACCTTTCACCTTACATCGAGATATAATACAAATGTGGATGTGAAGCCATTGTTGTTGCTAAGTACTGTTGAGTCAATTCCAACCCATAGCCACCCTGTATAGGGTTTCCAAGGAGCAACTGCCGGATCTTGTGGTTCAAACTGACTTTGCAGTCCAGCGCATTAACCCACTGCACCACACCAGGAATTTGACAATCATTAAAATGGAGGTTACCCAAAACCAAACCATTGCCTAGGTTTCTGACTCATGGTGGGCCCATGTGTTCCATACTAGAACTGGGCTCTATTGGGTTTTCTTGGTTGTCATCTCTACAGAAGCACATCTCCAAGGCTTTCTTCCATAGCACTGTTGGATGCGTTTGAACAAACTTTAGGTTAGTAGATGAGCACAAACAGCTTGAGTACTCACAGACCTAAAATTCAGGTTAACTTACCTACCGCCTTAGTCAATTCAGACTCACAACGACCTTGTCTAAGGTTTCTGAAGCTGTATATCTTTATGGGAGCAGAAAGCTTCATCTTTTTCTCAAGGAGTGGCTGGTAGGTTTGAACTGCCAACCTTGTAGTTTGCAGCCCAATGCTTATCATACAGCACCACCAGGGCTCCTTTAATGCAGGTAAGTGAGTGTTAAATAAAAACATATGAGTGTCTCACCAAGGCCTACTCCCTGATGGTAGAAGACCATCAGAAAATGAATTAAAACTCTGGAAATAATCTGAGGGATTTTGTAGGAAAAAACAGGATACTCTTGGACAAAGTGGAAACAAGAAGGTAATGGAAGCAGAGCACTGTGGAAAGGCGAAGTCACTTTTTCCAGTAGTTTTTGTTTGGGAGAAACTGAGGCAGAGGATTTTTAGGGGATTACAGAAGGTGCTATGGATTAATGCACTGGACTGCCAAGTCAGTTTGAACCACAAGGTCAGCTGTTCAAATTCACCAGCTGCTCCTCAAAAACCCTACACAGGTTGCTATGGGTCAGAATCAACTCAACGGCATTTAACAACAACAACAACTACAACAACAGAAGGTACCAGAGCTAAGCCTAGATATGAACCCTCCATTGACAATTTGAGGAGACCTGTCATTCAGGAGATGACACTTTCTTCGGACACTGCCTTAGTTCTGTAGTGCTGCTCTAACAGAAATACCAAAAGTGGATGGCTTTAACTAACAAATTTATTCTCTCACAGTCTAGGAGGATTGAAGTCTGAATTCAGAGTTTCAATTCTAAGGGAAGGCTTTTTCTCTGTGTCAGCTCTGGAGCTAATTCCTTGTTTTCTTCAACATCTGTGAGCCTGGTGTTCTTGGAGATCTCCATGTGTTTTGCAATCAGTCTTTCCCTGGGTCTAGAAGATTTCCAACACAGGGACCCGGCATCCAAAGGATCCCTTGTTTTCCTGCTCTTATTTCTTGATAGTAGTTAGGTTTCTTTCTCTCTGCTCAATTCTCTCTTCTTTCATCACTTGTAAAATAACAGGTGACGTGGGCCACATGTCAGGGAAGCTCCCATTATATCAGATCAGAGCTGTGACGGAGTAAGAGTGTTATTTTCCACCCTAATCTGCCTCATTAACAAGCAAACAAACATAACCTTCTTCAACATAACCAATACCTACTTCATTATCTATAGAGAGAGGTTAGGACTTGCAACACCTAGGACAATTACATCAGATCACAAAATGGAGGACAACCACACAATACCCCAAATCATGACCTAGCCAAGTTGACACATATTTTTGTGGGGAAAGAATTCAGTTCATGACAGATATTTTACATGACTTCTAGCCAGAGTCTCCTGGTTAGACAATTTGGTTGTCTTTTCTGGGAGAAGCATCTTGGACTAGTCACGCGAGATCAAGATAGAGTGAATGTGCGTTGTTTCTGCTCCAGAGCTTCATTTCTTAAGCCAAAAAAGGGGACATAATTTTATAGCCTGTAAGAGATGTGAAAGGATTAATTAGGAGTTGTAATATTCTTTGAAACAAACAGAAGAAAGAAAGTATAAACACATGGGCCATATCTATATCATCTGGCTAAATCTTCCCCCTCTTCAATGGTACCAGTCTTTATACTTGATGCAATTATTTTGACTCCAAAGAAACCATAGAGCCAGATTTCACTTTTGTCCATTTATTCATGAAAAAAAGGTATTTTTATCTCTTGGTTTTTATGTTATTCACTACACGTTTTTCTCATTATCCTCCTTCTCTGCTCAGCATCTAGTTGCTGAAGGACTCTAAGCTCTGGGCTCTGCTCCTTCCTTTCTTTATCTTTACACGCTTCCTAAATCCACTGCCCTTGAATCGAGTCCGATTCATGACAACCTTGTAGGACTGAGTGAAACTACTCCACAGGGGTTTCCAAGGTGGTAATCTTTACAGAAGCAGATACATATCCTCCCTAGTTGAGTTTAGTACCATCTACTAAATGGCCAATGACATTCGCATGTAGACCTTCAGCTTTGACCTCTCCTCAGAAATTAGACTCAGGTTTCCACCTACTTACTTGACATCACTATATGGATATCTCATTTCAAACTTAACAAAACCCTAATTTTTTCCACAAACTTCTTCCTTTCCCATTCTGCCTTCATATAACACAATGGCAAAACTCTATCAGCTGCTTATGACAAAAGTCTAAAAGTCATCTTGGATTCTCTTTCTCTTATATACCACACCCAATCCATCAACATATACTACACCTACAAAACCATCAATAACACCTTCATTTTCTCTCTATTTCCACTATTGTTACTTGGTCCAAACATCATTCCTTCTTGCCTGAACTACTATAATATCCTGGTCCTTCTGATTCCACTCTTACCCACTACAACCCATTTCTTACCCAGCAGCCCGAGTGATCACAACTGTCTCTTGTAGGAGAGAATTGCCAAAAGCCATGGTTCCCAGTGTGGATTCTGCACCCCTGGCATCGTTATGAGCATGTACACGCTACTCCGGAATCAGCCAGAGCCTACCATTGAGGAGATTGAGGATGCCTTCCAAGGTACAGGTCTTCAGACACAGCCTGTTGTTGTTGTTGTTAAGTACCATTGAGTGGATTCCAACTCTAGAGACTCTGTACAGGGTTTTCGAGGAAAGTGGCAAACCAACCATGTGGTCAAGTGCTTATCTTACAGCACCACACCAGGATTCCAGCCTAGAAGGTGGCAATAGCTGCCCTGCAGCTGTCAGGGCAGTGTCAGGGTAAAGGTCATGAGAGACTCAGACCACGCCAATATGGTGGCTACCATCTGCTGGAATGTTAGCTTTCTCTTTGTTTGGAGAATGAACGCCTGGTTGTTAAGAGATTTACTTGCTCTTCTGCCTCAAGTTCATTTTCCTGAGTTGTCTTCCTGTCCTCTCCCAGCATTGGAATGGGACTGGCAGTGGGTGTTTGGCCCAGTAGGAGACCATTTGGGAAACTCTACAGAGGCTACTGATAGGGCTTTGTTTCCTCTCAGATTTCATTAGAACAGGATTCTTCAGGGTGAAACTGCATATGAGGAAGGCATCCATGATTCTGAGCCATGGGAAAGGACCACCTTCTCATTTTGCCTTCTGTGAATGGTTGCAGGAGCTTGGACCATGTGTCTATTCTCCTGAATTGAATATTAACGGTTCCTCATTCATTCACCATTTTTACCTATCATTTATTCAATCAGTTTTATTAAAACCTACACTCTGTAAGTCCTGGTATGGACTGGACTGCCACCTCAAGTTCAGTGGCTCAAACCCACCAGCCACTCTCAGAAACACTATACACAGTTGCTTTGAGTCAGAACCAACTTGAAGGCACTTAATAACACTCTGTGAGGTATGAGGGACACAGGGACGAAAGACACAGTTGCTTCTCTCAAGGAGTTCACACTCTATTGGGTTGAGAGTTTATAATATGATTTCATAAACTCACTGATAAAGCTGTGACTGGGCAGCTCTGTAGGAGGGACACCTGACTTGGTTTGGACATGCTAAAAGACTTTCTGGAGGATGCAGTGATTGATGTGTTGTAGTCAGGAATACAGGGAAGAGAGGAGGGCCTTTCTGGGAGAGGAAGCAATATGTAAAGGTACTGTGGTGAAAGAGAGTGCCAAACAGAGTCATGGGAAAGCCCACAAGTCCCTAACCTGCTTTGCAGACCTGTACTAACATATTCTTTGGCCCATAGGAAATTTGTGCCGCTGTACAGGCTACAGACCCATCTTGCAGGGCTTCCGGACCTTTGCCAAGGTAAGTGATCCTGCCCTCAAAGTAGCAACTCTCAGGGCTCTCAGTTGTGAGCTAGGTCAAGGGTCTTCTGGACTACATGAGAGGAAAAAGATAAGATGGCCAGTTAATGGGTCCTTGCACTGGAGACATTCGATGTAGCATGGGGATATACCCGCCAGTGAAGGCATGTAGAACTGGTTTCTGGCCTAGGAGTTAACTTCCTCCAAGCCTTGGGGCTTGGCAGATTTCCTTCGGAACCTTGCACACTCATCCTGTGGCACAGATGCTGAAAGTGACATTTAATAACAATACGTCTGCCTCAGCATTCATACCTTTCCTCCCTCCCTGTTTGACTGCTTTCTGCAGTGGTCCTCTAGACAACTCTGAACCCCTGAAGTGTTCATGTAATGCAGAGTAAGAAACCACAGCCAAGGTTTGCAGCATTGTGATGATATTAACCCAGACATGTGCCTGCCATCTGGCAGGGAGGCCAGAGGGCCACGCCTCACCTTTCTTGACATCATCTCCCAAGGTTTTACCTGACTCTCCAACTGGGCCATGTTGGTCCTCACTTCAATGAAACCACCTTATCTCAACTTGATACTGGGCAGAGTTACAATCATCTACTATTTTCATTGACCCTTTGAGAGTTGCTGTCACAGATGAAGGGCCTACAATCCACTTTTTGAAAAGGTACAGGCAGGAAAACTCGGCAGAGCAGTTCTAGTCTGTAATACATGTACATATTCACCATGAGTCAGAATCAATTCAACTGCATGGATTTTTTTTTGTGTGTGTGGTTGTTGTTAGGGTTGACACATTATGAGGTACAGTGCTGTGTCTTTGTCTAACCTAAGAAGGGGTGGAACTGGAGATGAGGCCTAATAAACATCGAAAACACCACACCCTGGTGAATGCTGAGGATAATGAAGGACAAGATTTAAAGGGAGACAAACGTGATTGAAAGCACAGATTTGGAATCTGAATAGCTAGATTCAGGTTCCCATTCCATCACTTAATAATGTGCCCTTGGGCAAGTTTCCTTCTTTCTAAAATAGGAATTATAATAATACCTGCCTTACAGTGTGAGGGAAAATTAAATACTTCTTGTAAAGCCCTTAAAACTGCCTGATACATTTTAAGTATTCAATAAATGGTAATTATAAATGATGATGCTGGTGCAGTTCTTCCATTAGTCAGTATTTGATCTTCAAAAGTTGCTCCGACTTCCCTGAGAACCAGGGGTTACTATTCTTGCCCATCCTGGTATTATGTTCCTTCCTTGGCTTCAGTTTTATGATCATTGAAGAGGTTCCTGATCCCATTGTATGGTGACCATATTCCCCTTCCACTGCCTGCAGCCCAGAGCAGAGCTGAGCTCTTGAGCAGCCAGGATACCAGCACAGAATGTGCTGGAACACCTGGAGGCTCCTGAGGCCTTTATTCAGAGTATCTTCACTCTTGTTTTAGACACAACACTCCTGTCTACAACACACTCCTGTCTACAACACACACGAGGAAACTGTGTGGAGTGTCTGCTAAGGCAGACACACTGTCCACAAAAAGTAGTGACCATGTTCATTCAGCCCCAGGGCAGGGAAGGGAGGATTGATCAAAACAGGCACAGGATCTGAAAAGACCCAGTAGTCTTAGCTAATTGAGCCAAGTAGAAATCTCTGGAGGGGATAAAGCAGCTTAATCCAACCTTGGCAGCTCTTGAGAACACTGACACATTATTACACAACACAATAATTTATGCCAGGAACTTGTCAATGAATTATCAGGAAAAATGATAAAAATAAGAACACATTGGCATTTTAATTGCCTGGAAAATGTACTTTTGTGAAATATGTACTCCTCCTACCCCACTAGGGACCAAGTGAGTGAGGCTGGTCCCTCATATTGCTTCTCTGAGGGACTGGAAATTCCCGTAATATTCCTTCTCCAAAATAGATGATTTCCACACTCTTCTCAAGGGAAATTCCTTTCTTTGTAAATATAGAAAGGGAGGGGATGGATAGTAGACAGGATAGACATAAGGTATTCAATGGAGAAGCTGTGAATGCAGCGTGTAGGGCAGCGTGTGGCCAGAGGGTCAAGGCAAGAAAGGGGTTCTCTCTTGTCACCATCACTTGGCAGTGTGTACAAGTTCTCAAAGGCAACAGCTCCAGCCTCCATGGCCTGCTGAGAGCTTTCTTATCTTAAGAAGGCTGGTGGGCTGTGAAACATCTGCTCTGAATTGCTAGTACTGAGGAATGGTGTCGCCTCTGGTTTGTGTGCTGAAGATCCAGTTTCTCCAGGATTCTCCTGCCCTGGAAATGTGCCAGGGCTGTGCCTGTGAGTCCTCCCACTTTTGGCCCTCAACACAATTCCATGATTCTGAAGAGTGAATCCTGTCTTCCTGGGATGTATCATTCAGGTTTAGTCAGGTGAACACATCCCTTCCCAGAGGCAATAACTCTGGGCTTTTTCCTATTCTCTGTTATTAGTATTCTGAGAAAATCTTCTCTCTGGAGATGATGGGTGATCATGTCTGTACCCTCCCCCACAAACAGGTTCACAGTGAGGAGTAAAGGGTGTTTGGATTTCTGGAAAAAATTGCCTAATACATAGCGGTGAAGTCATAGAGCACACTGGCTAAACACAACTCTGGGCTCAGCATTGGACTTGAAATATATGAGGCAGGTGCCCCGTAGAGAACCTAGCCAGGGAGATGCCCAGTCAAGTGCCAATAGACAAAGGAGCTCTGGTAGCGTAGTGGTTACGAATCGGGCTGCGAGCCACAAGGTCAGCAGTTCGAAACTACCAGCCACTCCGTGGGAGAAAGATGAGGCTTTCTGCTCCTGTAAAGATTTCCAGCCTTGGAAACCCTGTACAGGGTCGCTATGAGTCGGAACCGACTCCACGGCACATAACAACAACAACAGCAAGCATAGAAACAGAGGGTCTTGAGTACTGAGAGAACTGATGGGAACTTCTCTCATAGAAGTTTTCTGAGGAAACATCGCTGAAGAAGAAAAATGGTGGTAAGATATGTTTTGATATAACCTAATTTTCATAGAAAAACCTTTCTTGAAACTAGAATGTCCTGTTGCTCCTAGAGGGAGATCCTACTTGCTTTTCTTTGATATATTTAATCTACATTAGCCAGTAAAGAGAGAATCTAGCAGAGGTCTCAACTCTATTTAAGAAAGCAAGTGGGATTCAGGCAGAGGTCTCTACTATTAAGGCCAAGATGTGCATTAGAACTGAGTTTGCTTCTATGACAAATCTGCATATATCCTTGTGTGAATGTTGGTCATCTCTTTAGGATGGTGGATGCTGTGGTGGCAAAGGGAGCAATCCAAACTGTTGCATGAACCAGAAGAACCTTAGGGTAACTGGATCCTTCTCTTCCTGGCATTCTGGAGGGCAATCTCAGACCTGGCAATGGTGACTGGAAAGGAAGGGGACGGAAAGGGTGTTCTGCCTAAGTTTATGAGGGTGGCACATTAACCCTGGGTCCTTTGGCAAGAGCTCCTTGTTCTTGTTCCCCAGTAGCTGCTGTCAGCCTGCTGGAGGCTGGGAACAAGCTTGCTTGGAGAAAGAGCTCATCAGTCCTTCTAACATGAGAAAAGAGAAGCTATTACAACACCCATTGGTTCTTTTTCCCTAGGATGTTACTCTCTCACCATCTTTATTCAACCCAGAGGAATTCATGCCCCTGGATCCCACCCAGGAACCCATCTTCCCTCCAGAGTTGCTGGTAGGTGATGTCTCGGGGAGAGGTCTCATCATGTCTGGGTACCAAGAGCTCTTAGAAACCAGCTTAATTTTCATACTCAACAAGCTCTATGTCCTTTTTGTCATTTAGATTTCATCCTTGCTGTGCTAAGTCCCTCTGTCACATACTCACAGAATATCCTGTATTTCTGTCATGACACTTCATACTTATAATTACTCATTTGATGTTTCTGCTCCTTGCCACCTTATAAGAACCATGAGGACAGGAATTGGCTAAAGCTAATGTATATCCTCCAAGCTGCCTATTCACCACTCTTTAAGCAGACCCTTTATTTAAAAAACAAAAAAAGCTATATTCAAAGAATACAATTCCACAGCTAGAAGCGTTGTTTTAAGGACACCTCTCCAACCACTTTCTCACTGTGATGATTCCATTTCTTTACTCCAACATTAAATTTTTTTTTTTTTTTTTTACAACAACAGCAAAGAAATAATCAGGCTGCTCACAAAAGGGTTTCCAAGTACAGATTTCTCCAAGCTCATGGAGCAGATGGAGACTTCCTTGGGGGTTCAAGAGGCCAGAAAGAATGACGTTGGAATAGGCAGTCAGAACATCTTTCTCTGATTGTGGAGCCTTGAAAAATCATCACTTAGTTTTGGGGCTCTCCATTCCCACATCTTGTCCCCCGAGCCTCCTGAAGACAATGTGGGGCAGGGTGAGGAGTTTGGACTTCGGGCCAGGTTGGCTCAGGCCCACTCCTGGTTGGGTGGTCTTCCACAACTCCTGTAACCTCTTTGATCTTCAGGCTCCTTTGCCTGTGAACCCCCCACGTGGCTTCTGCCTCAATGCGTATTATTAGTTTCCTTATTTCTCACCAGACATATATTCTAATTCTGAATTTGGTGTTAAATCAGTAGGAGAATCGATCCTGTTGTGGACTTAAACTAATTTACCAGGGGAATGGAAGTAGAGAGGCAGTGCAATAAGAAAATTTCCTTTCTCAGAGGCTGAAAGATGCTCCTCAGAAGAAACTGTGTTTTGAAGGAGAACGTGTGACATGGATCCAGGCCTCAACCCTGAAGGAGCTGTTGGACCTCAAAGCTAAGCAACCTGATGCCAAGCTGGTGGTAGGGAACACAGAGATCGGTGAGGGCCTTGAGGGAGCCCTGGGGCTGGGAGCTGAGGGATGTTGCTGGGCTCTTTCTCATTGAGGAGTCCTGGGTGCTTAAATTCCTGCAAAGCCTGGGGCTTTGGAGACACACAGACCTGGTTCAAACCCTTGCTGGCTGTATGTCTTTAGAAAAGTTAGTTAGTTCTCCTTCCTTTTGTTTTCCTATTTCTTATATAGCAATAGGAGTCCTTGGGTGGTACAAATGGTTAACTTGATCAACTGCTAACTGAAAGGTCGGAAGCTTGAGTACACCCAAAGGTACTTTAGAAGAAAGGTCTCATAATGTGCTTCTGGAAGCTTAGTCATAGAACATCCTATAGATCACAGTTCTACTCTGACACACCTGGGGCCACCAGGAGTTGGAATCGACTTGATGGTCACTAATATATGGGGATAATAATGCTCTCTTCCGAGGATTGCTTTGAGGAATAAATGAGATCCTGTCCTATTGTTTATTTTTCTCCATAAACTTCTACTGAGTGTCAACCATGAACCAGGTACTCTGGGAGGAGTTAGGGATGCAAAGATAATCTGAACATAGTTCCTTCCCTCAAGGTTATTATAGTTGAAGGGCAGAGGAATTAATGTGGGTAAAGTATTTAGACCAGTGTCTGACATGCTAAGGGTTCCACAAACATCACTTTTTGCATCACCCATTTTGGGGGGCCTTTTGGTAAGAAGAGAGAGGAGATGGTCAAGTGTGACTGTATTTGTGTTGCCTATGACTGTATCCACCTGCCTTTAGGTGGGCACCATTACCTAAGGCATGGAGCTAACAATACACAAACAGGCTGGCTAAGGCCAAGGTGGATAACTCTCAACCCTAGTGCCTGTAAGTGATGGGGAGAGACAGCAGAGTGTCTCACCACTACTGTGGAGTCAATTCCGACTCAGGTTGTTGTTAAGTGCTATTGAGTCGGTTCTGACCCATAGCAAGGATTTCCGAAGCTGTAAATCTTTATGGGAGCAGAAAGCCTCATTTTTCTCCCACTGAGCCGCTGGTAGTTTCAAACTGCTGTCCTTGCGGTTCACAGCCCGATTCATAACCACTACGCTACCAGAGCTCCGATTCATAGTGAACCTATAATCAGATAGAGCAGAACTGCTCCTGAGGGTTTCCAAGACTGTCGGTCTTTATGGGCATAGATAGCCTCATCTTACTCCCTTAGAGCAACTGGTGAGTTTGAACCACTGACTTTGTGGATAATCACAGTTGTTGCCTGACAGGGTTGCTATAAGGATTATTGTTGTTAAGTGCCGTTGAGTCAGTTCCAACCCCTAGTGGCCCTGTATAAGGGTTTCCAAGGAGCGACTGGTGAGTGTGAATTAAATGAGTTAAAATATGTAAAGTACTTAGAACAGTTCTGACGTACATGCGTTAGTACGCTGTGTTTTCTGTTATTGTTATTATACACATCAATCACATATTAGTGTGAATTCAAGTTCATCCCACTTGAATTCTGGTAGGTTTCCTTGAGAGAGAAAGACATAATTTTAGAGCCAACACTCTGGAGAGTGTCCCTAATCCTGGGACACCCATGGAGCGTGTTGTTTATGTCTGTAAATATATAAGTGTTAAGTCAAAAAGTATTGCTACAAATTCATAGACACTGTTAGTAAACAAAATATCATAATGTGAAGCTATTATTTCTTGACCTCTCCTCCTTCCCCCAAGAAATTCTGTGCTCTTTGATTTGCATCATGTCAAAATGGCAGTTTTGGCATCCCAAGGGACTCCAATTATGTTCCTATTCAATGTTCTTTGAGTTTGGGGAACAAAAAGAAGGCTGAAGGAGCAACATCAAGTTACAGGATGGATGTGGTGAGGGTTCCTAACAAAATTTTCCTAGAGCAGCTCATGCTATCCTTGAAGAATGAGCAAATACATTGTAATGCGAAAAAATTCCTCAGTGCAACTTTCCTGGCCTTTTTCTCACTAATGCATTTTACTTGTCTTCAAAATCTTTCGTAATAAACCTCCATGATTGTCCTATGTCCTTGGAGAAAATCTGTAAAAATTACCCCTTTGGAATCCAAAAATACAATCACCAAACCGTCTTAGCTTTCCTGTCCTGAATTGAATTGGTCCAGCAGATTCCCTCGGATTCCGTGTTTTGATTGGACCCTTTCTTTTGAAAACACCCTAATGAGACTAAAACAAATACATTACTGAGAGAACTTGTCTGCAGCCATCCACTGATTGCAGATACATGTTTAAATATGTTTTGTTTTGAAATAAACATTCATGTATGAACTGGAATTCTAGTAGCAATACTTTTTTACTTACCCTCGTATCATGTATTCTCTGTGTAAAAGTGTTAAAAAATGTCAGGGCCTGCCCTACTTTTATAACAATGGATCTATAGCTTCAGGCTTTTCATTTCTCTCAAGGTATTGAGATGAAGTTTAAGAATAAGGTGTTTCCTATGATTGTCTGCCCAGCATGGATACCTGAGCTGAATTCAGTGGAGCATGGACCAGAGGGTAAGGGAGACGGAGTTCACAGAGGGCTGATGCTGGAAGGGGGTAGGTCACTAGGGGAAATCCTGTAGCTGGGTTGCCTCCCCTTCGGCTCTCGCTGCTGCCTGCTCCTCCTGGAGCAGGGAAGTGGGGGCTCAGGGAGAGGGTGGCTGCCTTTCCTACCATGAGCATCCATGGTAGGGGCCACCAGGCAAGAGGCTGTGAGATTTCCAACAGTTGTTCTCAATCCTGGCTATACAATGGAATAATTTGCAGGGGAACGGGGCAGTGTGTAGGTGCTATTTGAACATACCAGCACTTCATCCCTTGGGATCCTGTATTATTGAGTTGAGAATCACTGGTCTAGAAAAAAAGTCATGATGATAGAATCAAGAAGACTAGGTTTGAGTACTGCCTCTTTTAGTAGCTATGCGGCATCGGGCCTGTCACTAACTCCCTCATCTATAAGTCTTGGTTCTACCTTCCTTGGGTCACTGTAGAGGTTCCTAGGAGCTGTAAAGGAGATTATTCTGAGCATCTGTTCCCAGGTATCTCATTTGGAGCCGCTTGCCCCCTGAGCTTTGTGGAAAAGACTCTGGTGGATGCAGTTGCTGAGCTGCCTTCCCACAAGACAGAAGTGTTCAGAGGCTTCCTGGAGCAGCTCCGCTGGTTTGCAGGGAAGCAGGTCAAATCTGTGGCGGTGAGTTCAGGGGCCCACAAGGCCCAGGGGAGGGCCTTCCATCAGAAGGTAGGGCAGTCAGTCTAGCTTCAGCATTCTTGTTAAACTGCCTGGGCCCTCCTTGGGAGAGGTTCTGATTCTAAGTTGACTCTAAGGAATCTGACTTTTAACACGTCCCTCAGATGATCCTGATGAAGGGGATCTGTGGGCCCCTGTCAAACATTTCTAGCTCATGATCTTTGCCCTCAGTTTGAAGAGGCGCCTCAGTTTGAAGAGGCGATTTCCTGCCTCCTTCTATGTGAACTTGACTGAGGACAAATGAGAGACTTATTAGGGAGAAGCCAGTGTCAGGAGGGTGGTTTTCCTTCCAGAGTTGGGGAAATCAAAAACTTCCCTGGTAGGAGAGAAGGAACCCCCTCTGGATCACTGACAATCAGCCTTCAGACTAGCTCTAAAACTGTCTGTTTGCACATGGCGTACACATGGCTTCTTGAGGTTCTCATCAACTTTTATTGGAAGAAGAGCTAAGATATCCCTTCTGTTCAACCCTTGTATTATTTTCTTAATTTGGGGGGATGTCCATCTTCATTCCTATCCCCCTGTCCAAACATCCACCATTATAAATGAAGTAACATCAACCCAGTTTCTTAGTTAGATAGGAATCTACTTCCAGGAAAGAATTTGTTCCCATTGTGAAACTGTTTTTCTTCCTGCTTCTTAATAAGAACCCTCTTTATTCAATTCTTAAATCAGAACCCTGTACCTAATTCTTCTTACATTTTTTGCCAAGTTTCCAGGAAGTTATGGAGCAAATAGAGCACATTGTTCATCTTAAGCGTTCTTCCTCTGTTCCTTGATCTTTATCTTCTCTTTCAATTTTACTAACCCTATGTGGCCTCTGTGACAATCACTTTCATCATTTCAAAAAAAAAGGATAGGCGAAATTGAATGCATTAAAAAAAAGAAAGAAATTTAAAGGGACTTGCTGAAGTTTACCAACTGGTAAATGTTGGAGCTAGCTCTTAATCCCAATTGTTCTGATCTCAAGGGTTGTACATTTCCTGGGTACCCCCGTTTTCCCTGTACCAGTCTTGTGTCTACAGAGGTGCAGGTCTTCAGGAGCCACCTACCTGCCTGGGTGCAGGAGCAAGGTGTGTCCTGGGTGGGTTCTCACCTCACACTCTGTGTTTGTCTTAGTCCATCGGAGGAAACATCATCAATGCCAGTCCCATCTCTGATCTGAACCCTGTGCTCATGGCCAGTGGAGCCAAACTGACCCTTGTGTCCCAAGGTGAGTTGCCTGATACAGAGATCAGAAAAGAGGGACTTGAGAGAGGAAAATCTCACATGCTAGGTCTTTCTCTGGAGAAACAGAGCCCATCCGTGGAAAGCAACTGGGCCAAGAGAAGAATTCACAACAGCTGCTGCTTCCTAGGTGCCTAATTCAGCGGTGTGCCAAAGTTGGCTTGCACTGGTTCACAGGGGCTGGTTATTGGGTATTCAGGAATTCTGTGAGCTGGTTACTAAACACAGCCATTCTTAAAAATCAAGTTACATAAGCTAACAAATTCTATAGGTACACTCAGGACTGTGATTTAAGCAGCAAAGGGAAGAGATGCATGAAGCCAGGGGTAAGCTTCCAGAGTCTTCTCCCTACAAAGTCAGGTACTCAGGCTGCACTTCATTCCTCCCAGTACCCAGTCATGGCAACAGGGGTGAAATGCTTCTATCAGGGAAGCTCATTGGAGAATCAGCACCCAGGATTTGAATGGGGGCTGGTACGTACCTGGCACATACCCAAACTCAGGACTCCAAGAAGGAAAGCAAATGTTCAGCATAAATAATATTACCTTCCACAGTTTAAGTGCAGGAAACCTCTTTCATCAGTTCTGGGACTGGTGGGAACTCTCCCAAAGTGAAAGTTCCCAGTCGCCAGCCAAGGGGCAACCTCACAAGCAGGTCTTTTGAAGGGGTACTGAGTCAACACTTTTCTGCACTCTACCCAACTTCCTTTTAGAAGCTTGAAATTGGGTGTATTTACACCAGAGAAAATGGCAAATGGCTACAAGTCAGAGATTTTCCTCTCAAAAAGAGTCAGCTGTTAAATGTTTACCGGCACACTGTTGCTTCCTGAATTTGGCCAGCCCTATTTGTATCAGATGCTCCCTCTGATTGTGGACATCAGACACCAACATAAAGAATCTCACTAGTGGGTTTTCCTATACTCCAAACGTGGTCCAGTATTTCCCTCACACACTCTTTCTTCATTTTACCTCTTTCTATGCAGGTACCAAGAGAACTGTTCGGATGGACCATACATTCTTTCCTGGCTACAGGAAAACCCTGCTAAGTCCAGATGAGATACTACTTTTCATAGAGATCCCGTTCAGCAGGGAGGTGAGATGTTGTCAGAAACTGGCCCAAATCTACTCCTACTTCAGTCAGACTTGAGAGTCTTCCTCAGGGACAGACTTCACTTAACCTTATTTCTCTCAGGACAGTGAGAAGTTGTATGGTAGGGTACCAAGGGTAGGGACTAAGAAATGGAACAGTTAGATGTGTGACCCTAAGCAAGTCAGTTCACCTTTCTGAGTCCCTACTTCCCCATCTGTAAATCGGGAGCAATGTTACCTTCCATGTGGGTCATTGTGACTGAAAGCAGATAGTTCCTAGGATTCTTGGCACATGCCTGGGAACCAGTGGAGATCACCAGCCGGTAGCAAACAATACAATCACAAGAACTACTCAGCTTCTGAGTCTCCCAGTTGTTGTTGTTAAGTGCTGTCGAGTTGATTCCGACCTATAGTGACCCTGTATAGGGTTTCCAAGGAGCAGCTGGTGAGTTTGAACCACCAACCTTGCAGTTCAAATGACTTTGCAGTCTGATGCATTAGTCAAAACAGCCGGCTTTCATATGGTAAGGATTGGTGTGTTGAGTGGTGACGCTCCCTGTCAGTCAGACCCTCAGTTAAACTTGGACTAATGCAATGTTTATTCACTGGACTTGCTCTGGGCTGTCTCTGATGGATTGTTGCCCTCCTGGGCAGGCTTTCTGGTTTGTTGGGGCATGTCTGGGCTCTTTTGACTGCCTTGCTCTAGTTCCTTGGGGCCTGAGGTGGCATAATCTGGTGTGATGTCTCTCAGCAGCTCAAGACATGGTTCCATGATACGTCTTTTTAGGAGGATTATCTGGAAGAGGTTGGGGACCCAGCTATAAAGGATTAGAAAAAAGGTTCCTGTATTTACAGCTAATGTGTTAGTGAGTGTTTCAAGTCATGCTTTGCCCTTTCTAATTTTGAACTCATTAATGAGAATGATAATTAAATCAGAGTGAGTATATCCCTGAGGTGGTTTCTTAATGATCTTCTAGCTTGTCCTCATAGACCATTTGAGCAGTGGTTTTTAGAGTCTTGGTTTTCACCGATCAGTAAAATTAGAAAACTTCATGAGGTAAGGAGCAGGAGAAGAAATGAACATAGCAGTGTCGGGTATGATTTAGCCAGATAAGGACATTCTTCACAAACTCAGAAACAAAATTTGACTCACAAGTTTCACCATCAGTTCTTAAAGATTAAAAGAGAACCCAAAAGTTGCTATCCAGTCAGCTCCAACTTATGGTGACCCCATGTGTGTCAGAATAGAATTGTACTCCATAGAGCCGTGGGTGCTTAAATTCCTGCAAAGACCCTGGCTTTGGAGTTACACCAAGGCTGAGTTTCTGGAAGTAGACCACTAGATCTTTCTTCCAAAGTGCCTATGAATGGACTGGAATCGCCAACATTTTGGTTAGCAGCTGAATGTGTTAACCATTCATACCACTAATTTAATACCAGAATTAGGAAGACTTTCTTGAGAAAGGACAGTTGGGTAACCTGACACCGTCATTTCGTGGCACCCCAGTGGAAGTGCTGCCTTGGACTGGTTCAGCTCCTTGTATGAGCATCTGGGAGGTTCTGTTCCAGAACTTGGGCTCATTGCCTCACGACCACGGTTGATGCTCAGGAATCAGAAATGATGTATCATCAAAAGGGTCTCAGAGACCCTTCTAAAATCTAACCTGTGTGCCTCATGGTGCTTTTGACAACCTATTTCCTTTCCTTAAACCTTTGGCTTTAAGCAGAATTTCCCCTACCAGGGTGAATTCAAACATCAAAACAAACCTGACCCAGAAAGGGTTTAAAGTTGAAAGGTTCTTTCCTGGAAATTGACTCACTCTCCTCTCACAGCCCTACAAAGACAGATAACCTTGGTTAGACCCCAGCGGAGGAGTGGGGGTGGGTGGGAAGTGTGTTTAAATACAAAGGAACCTATTTCAAATGGTGAGACTTTCTTTCAGGAAGCAAGATTTCTAAAAGCAGCCAGCAGACCAATAGGAGGGATAGGTCTGGGAAGAGCACCTGTGGAGGCTTTCAAGCAACTATTTACCATCTGATTGTCTTTGCTTGAGGAACTGTGAGGCTGCCAGGGGCTTTGGCACAGCCTCCCAGAAGTCAGCAGCTGGGCACCATCAAGGGGAGGACACGGATTCCAAGGACATGTTTTCTCTCTTTCCTGGGTGTTGACTTAGCTGACATCACTTTGGTCTGCTGTGCTGTTGTTAAGTGCTGTTGAGTCCGTTCTGCTTATAACGACCCTGTATAAGGTTTCCAAGGAGTAGCTGGTGGTTTTGAACCACCGACCTTGTGGTTAGCAGTCCAGTGCTTGTCCTACAGCTCCACAGCAGGACTCCTAGGTCTGCTGTAGCCATAACAAATCCCGACCCCTTCCCAGCTTCAGGGAATGTTATCTGGAAGTTCTACTAAAATGGTGCCAGTTATGCCTTGGTCTCTGATTCCTGACACCAGCTCCCCACTGATTTGAAATGACCTTAGCTTCACCCCCACCTGGTAGCTCACCATTCCAGTCCACCATTTGCAGTCCTTATACAACAAGGTGGAAAACAGAAATCTTTCTGTTTTTGTTTTGTTTTTAGGGTGAGTTCTTCTGTGCATTCAAGCAGGCCTCTCGGAGAGAAGATGACATAGCCAAGGTGACCAGCGGCATGAGAGTCCTGTTTAATCCAGGAACCTCAGAAGTAAAGGAATTGGCCATTTGCTATGGTGGAATGGCCGATAGAACCATCTCAGCCCTCAAGACCACTCAGAAGCAGGTGTCAAAGTAAGAGCTAACAACAAAATAAGCAAAGGCAATTACTGTTGCTGCTGCTACTGTCAGTATTATTACTACAATATTGCTTTTCCTACTACTGTTACGGAGTCCTGGTGTGGTGCTGTGGGATAAAGCACTGGGTCGCCAGGTCAGTTTGAACCACAAAGTTCCACGAAAACCAATAGCTCCACGAAAACCCTACATAGGGTCACTATGAGTTGGAACTGATTCGATGGCACTTAACAACAACTGTCACACTGCTATTAATATTACATCTCTGCTAGTATTACTGTTACTACTATTATTGCTACTGCTATGACTTATATTAGACTAGTATATAATTGTTCCTACTAAGGACCTCTGGTAGCGTAGTGGTTACAAATCGGGCTGTGAACCACAAGGTCAGCAGTTCAAAACTACCAGCTGCTCCACTGGAGAAAGATGAGGCGTTCTGCTCCCGTAAAGATTTACAGCCTCGGAAACCCTGTACAGGATCGCTATGGGTCAGAACCGACTTGACGGCACTTAACAACAACAACTATTACTATTACTGTTATTAATGCTACTATTATTGCTGCTACTGCTACTACTATTACAATGACTACTATATACCAGGCACTGTACCAAGCACTTCACTGTTTTTATCCTATGTAATTCCTATAATAACCTTATAGGATAGACAAAGCTTTATTCTAGAGTTTGGCTTATTGGGTCTAATTCTGGCTCTAACACTTTACCAGATGGCTAACAAAGGTCAAGTTACTTAATTCCCCACATCTCAGTTTTTCCATTGGTAAAGTAAATATAAGACTAGTACTACACTTCTTAAGGAGCTCTGGTAACATAGTGGTTATGAGTCGAGCTGCTAACCTCAAGGTCAGCAGTTCAAAACGATCAGGAGTTCCATGGGAGAAAGATGAGGCTTTCTTATCCCATAAATATTTACAGTCTCGGAAACCCTATGCAGGGTCACTATGAGTCAGAGCCGACTCCATGGATCATAATCACTACCACCACCATCACACTTCTTAATTGAAATCAGTGATGGTGATTCATATACAGGACTTAGGGCCTTAGCTAATATACAGTAACTATTATTATTTTTTTTAACTATTATTATTATTTTAAAGGAGCTCTGGTAGCGTAGTGGTTACGGATTGGGCTGTGAACCGCAAGGTCAGCAGTTCGAAACTACCA